ATTTTTCTTTATAAATTTTTAACTATGGACAACTGGTCCTAGTGTAACCGTATTCCCAATCCTCATCTCCGCCGCTGTCCCAGCTGATTTCGAAGCCCACTACCGCAATTACATATAATTACGTGAATACTTTTACGAGACTCACTTGTTCCACAGCAAAATAAAAACTTTACCCGCAGTTGACATCGCCTTAAGAAAGTTAATTGTCAGAACTGACTGGGTAAATCATTTTCATGCACACATTACCACTTTTAGCTTTTCCGAATCTGCAAAATGTTCTCCCTACATATGCCAAGTCCTTCGTGATAAGATTGGGGCCTTGTAGAAAAAGGTGAAAAAGAGCTACGAGATGATCTGCCTTCTTTCCGTGTTCGCTGTTAGTACGGCCACCGCGACAGTGCTTGAACTCAAGTACAATGATTGTTACTTCGTGTATTCAAGATGTGTTGCGCAACTTCAAGCAGCAACAGAGAAGGGTGCCTCCTAGTCCTCTCAGGCTACCGACAATTTTCAACTACCCCTGTTTGTGGGGAAGACAACGAATTTGCAATACTTTCCTTGAACAATATTAACTAACGCACGAATAGGTTGATTATATTCCATTTTTATTTTCTTGTTTTTTTTTTTGTTTTCTAGTAGGAGCTGCAAAAACCGATCGAACTCTTGGCTTCAATACCTATAATTACAATGTAGCTTAGCTTAAAAGATCACGCGACAGAAGAAGAAGAGATAGAGAAATAGATAACGAAAGAGAAGAGCTAAGAGCGCAGCAGGTGCAGTCATACACCTATGCGCGCATAATTAGGCACTAGCGGTCTGCTCTGAACAACCCCCTTCAGCGGGTTGTCGTCTGCCACCGGTAAACACCGAAGTTTTCGCTGATGATTATCTTCGGTGGCCCACGTCACAGATCTTTTTACTGCGGTATACGTTCACAACTCGCGTCTTACCCCGGTGGAGAAATTGTTCCACCTAATATCCAAAATAAGTGGCGATGTGCACTCTGTTGTTTTCAAAGTCCCGCTCAGCAATGAAGGGTATGTCTCAGCTTGGCGATGCCTCAACGACCGCTTAGAGAATCGGCGGTTGTTGGTCAACAGCCAGTTGAAAATACTTTTCAACATACAGGCTATCCCAGTAGAGTGCGGAGTCGCTCTAAAAGAACTACAAGGCACCATCCAAAGTTGCCTAAGCGCCTTTGAGAAGTCTTCTATTCAAGTTGAGGCTTGGGACTCTCTCCTCGTGTATATGATTTCCTCCAAGATTCCAAAGCCCACGCTTTCCATGTGGGAGCAATCTATCCATAATAATGCCGCCATTCCAACTTGGAACGAGCTAGTCGTGTTTCTGACCGAGCAGCATCGTACGCTGGAGGCCACGCCTACCGGCTCAGGGCATTTTCAGCCGAGGTCAACGACTACGAGCGAGTTACCCCCTCAGCACCTACCCTCGGCGGTCCCCCACCAAAACCGCCAAACACCTAGCAGCCAAAGCAATTACCATAATTCCACGGTAACCAAACACTTAGCAGCCAAATACTTTGTTGGCAATAAAGCTGCAAGCCAAACAAACATCGGGGCCACTGCAGATCCAACCTATTTGTAAATACGCTCCAATTCAATTCTATTCCGCTAGGTCAGCATAATTGTATCTAAGTAGTAAGCATTGAAAGACGAAATATAAAACAAAGAATTCAGTTTGAGACATGTTGTCAAAACTAAAAGTTGACTCGGTTCAAAACAAATTTAAAAAGGAAAGCTCCCTGAAAATATCTTGGACCTATTATACATAACTGGAGCAGTCGGAACCCCTTCGCCCAAGGACTTATTCTACCCTAGGACTTGAGGAAGGACAAGAACACTATTTTGACCATAATTATGTAAGAGTGAGTAGAGTGAAGTGGGTGCAATGGAGTGGAACATAGTTGAAACGAAAAAAATAAGAATGAATAACGAATCGTACAGCAATAATAAAGGAATAATATAAACAAAATTATAATAAGAAATAAATAAATAAAAAAAAATGCAATCGAACCTGATACAGAGAAATGTGAACAGGAAATGAGCAAGTGCATAGTGTTCGTAGCCGAACAACACCGGGATGAAATAAATTAATCAGAAGATAAGCACATAGAACGTGTTTAATAATTGGAAGAGTTAAGCTAGAATTTTAATTAAGTAGTGGTACCGGTTATGAACTAAATGGAGGTGTTCGAAGCAGACCGCTAGCGCCTAATCATGCGCGCATAGGTGTATGGCTGCACCTGCTGCGCTTTTAGCTTTTCTATTTTCTTATCTATTTCTCTATCTCTTCTTCTTCTGTCGCCTTATCTTTAAGCATTGTAAGCGTTTTTATATATGTTAAAGTCAATCATCCGATCGGTAGTTGCAGCTCCGACCAGAGAAGTGAAACGAAAATAAAATACAGCATATAATCGACCTATTCGTGCGTTCGTAGTTATTGCTCAAGGGTGGCAAATTGGTTGTCTTCCCCATAAACAGGAGGGTTCGATTGAAACAAAGGGCTTGATTGAGGCAAGCCATAAGCTCTTAAGAAAGAACGGGTATCAAGATTAGTATAATGTTCAAAAATATAACAAAATACCTTAACGAAGAACAAACCCGAGTACCAATGTTTATAAACGTTCCTAGAGGAGAACAAGAGGACTTATAGGTTAGAGTATATAGACAGGACTTCAGTAACCATAGACATGTTGGGATTGAACCTAAATGATATAGCAGAAAGCCTGTTGCTAGCGAAAATTGGTCTAATCTCGAATTTTATATTTGACAAGCAGGAAGCATCGAAGTGTGGGCCAGAGTAAGAAGGACAAGGTATCAAAAATGTCCGAAGAACATATGTGCGAGTTTTTTTAATTAAAACCAATAATGAATAGGACAGACGTAATATTTTCCATAAAATTACCTGTTTCTAAAAAGGGAACGTATTCTTTGCATAGAATTATAGCGTAACCCATGAATAAAACAGAATTTATAATAGCATAAGAATATGTAGTGAGTAGAAAGGAAGAAATGTATTATTATAAGAATAAATGTCAGAAAGTAAGAAATTTATATACATGTAAGAATGATAAAATTGTAAACCAGGGAGAATTGAAAGAAACTGATAAGCGGAGAGGAATTGTGAAACAAAAGATGTAGGACTCGTAAACAGGATTTTTGAACCGGAAGAGGGTTTCATCGCAGTCTTCAATGGAGAGTGGTCATTAAACAACCATAAATGGGTCAGCACTGATCACATTCAGAGAATGGAGAGTCATGGTTAATAACATCTGATACGGAACGATGAAGAACTTGGCACAGTGAGATTAAATTTGGAGATTCCTCAGAGCGGGGCTATCCAGAAAAACAGAACAACCGAAAAATTGGGAATACATGAGCTGAAAAAAGAGGACATCGAGACGAAACTACAGATCAATAGAATCCAGACGGGAACAGCGATACACACAACAGCGACATACGCAATACTAACCGTACTAGTAATACTGGTGGCGGCAATGGCGAGTTTTTCAAAAACGACTACCTTTACACCAGCGGCATTACTCACAATGTTCACGCCAACTATTGCTCCACCTACCAATTTCACACCTACCATTGCTCAGTCTGAGGGGGGAGGAGTTACCGCCTCAGCATCTTCCCTCAGCGGTCCCCCACCGAAACCACCACGGCAACCAAACACCTAGTATCCAAAGTAACACCTCAACAATTACCCTCAGTGGCCCTCACTGAAGCCCCACGGCAACCAAACACTTCGCAGCCAAATACTTTGTTGGCAATAAAGTTGAAAACCAATCAAACATCGGGACCACTGCAGATCCAACCCACTTATACATCCGCTCCATAATTGTATCTAAACATTAAGCATTGAAAGACGAATTATATATTAAAGAACTCAGTTTGAGACATACCGTCAAAACTAAAAGTTGACTCGGCTCAACACAATTACAAAAAGGGAAGCTCCCTGAAAATATCTTGAACCTATTATACATAACTGGAGCAGTCGGAACCCCTTCGCCCAAGGACTTATTCTACCCTAGGACTTGAGGAAGGACAAGAACACTATTTTGACCATAATTATGTAAGAGTGAGTAGAGTGAAGTGGGTGCAATGGAGTGGAACATAGTTGAAACGAAAAAAATAAGAATGAATAACGAATCGTACAGCAATAATAAAGGAATAATATATATATATAATAAAGGAATAATATAAACAAAATTATAATAAGAAATAAATAAATAAATAAAAATGCAATCGAACCAGAGATAGAGAAATGTGAACAGGAAATGAGCAAGTGCATACTGTTAGTAGCCGAACAACACCGGGATGAAATAAATTAATCAGAAGATAAGCACATAGAACGTGTTTAATAATTGGAAGAGTTAAGTTAGAATTTTAAAAAAGTAGTGGTACCGGTTATGAACTAAATAGAGGGTTCGACTGAAACAAAGGGCTTGTGTGAAACTACGGCGACCGGTTCGACGTTGAATTGAGCAGTTCGATCGAACGGTCGGCATATGTCGGCAGACGCTGTGGTTGTCGATGGTTCGATGCGAATCGAACAGTTCGGTCGAACGCCTGGTCGTTGAGAGGGCATGGAGAGGTCTTTGCGGACAACTCAATGCAAAGTGGCAACGGTTGTCGACAAGTTCAAGCCAATACAGAAGAGAGAGGGGTTTGGTTGGTTCACATACAGCGGGACGTCCATGCAGAGGATTGGAAATTCGAGGGCAGGATTTATAATTAAAAAATGAGTTGCTGTATACATGACGGCTCTTTAGCATAAAACCTTCATGTGTTGTTGAAAAAGAATGAAAAAAAAGTAAATAAAAAAAATTTTAATAAATAAATAACAAGAAACGATACACTGTAACGAACAGGGAAGCACGGGAATGGTCAGGCAAAAAAAAGCGAGAGAAACCCTAATGGCAATAAAACATTGGTTGTGATTCTGTACCGCACAGCTGATCAGCTAGCTTCAGCATGCCGGGTAATAAGACTGGGAGGACTGAAGATGATCTCGTGTATGTGGACAGTGAGGAGGGTGCTGTTACCGCTGAGAATGCGGAGGGGAACGAGGACAATGATTCGGGTAGCTGCAGCCCCCCGAATGCGGACACTTATCTGTTATTTACGAAACTATTGTATACGCATGGCCAGCAGCTGGAACTGCCCGGTGGCAGAATCCACATTGGATTCACGAACAAGGGTGCCGAGGAGTTTGTGATCGAGACCGTGGAGGCCTCTTTCCGCTACCCCATGGACTTTAACTACTTTATTCGGAACTTTTTGGCTATGGCCTACAACCGTAAGGTGAAACCCGGTTTCGAGTCGTCCCTTTGGATTGAACTACCGTGATGCCAATGGCATTAAGTACAAAGAAACTGTTTACAACGAAACTATTCTGATTTCTGAGGTTAATGAAGGACTTGATGGCGAGACCTTCTTCCTGTATGTTCTGCTGGCTGGCATTGTTGTCCTGCTTCTGGTCATTGGCCAGCAGTATCAACAACAACAAACAGAGGCAGAAACAACACCATCTGCAACTTAAGCAGCACTATAAACCTCCATTCTTCATCCTGTAGGAGGAATCAGCATAAACATTTTCGTAACTAATTAATTTATTATTTACGATTCCATTTTCAATTATCTCTGGAGATACACCTATCCATTATTTTTAATTCGTTTAATCGCGAGATTGTTAGTCTTTAAACCAACAAACAAATGTTTCCAGTTTTTTTAGAACTTTAATGCTCAAACTTGGCACATACTCCATGAAAAAGAAAAAAACGAAAAAATGGAAACGCCAAGAAGAAAACCCCTCGACAAATAATTGTAAACCTATTGAAATTTCTTGAGAATTGTCTTCGTTTGTTGAAGACACATGAGAAAGCTTAGAAGAATGACTGCAGAAGACAGAGTGAAGCTAGGCAAAAGATGGAAAAGAGACATTGATTGATTGAGACAACATGAAAAAAAAATGCCACTTGTACGATACATTTAATTAGTCCAATTATAACAAATCAATTGATTAACTTTTGCGTTTTATTTTGCGTATTACTCTCCCTTGCATCCATTTCCGATCTTGGACTGTCTTTTTTTTTCTTTTTTTTTTGAAGTTTTTGGAGTTTTTTAGATAGAAGTTGCAGGAAGTCGATAGGTCAATATTAAAAGTTTTCATACAAGAGAAATTAGATTTGGCGAGTGGATACCACCAAATCGAGTTAAGGGAGGAAGATATTCCGAAAACAGCTTTCTCTGCTGAAGGGGGGCACTTCGAATACGTGCGAATACCTTTCGGATTAAATAATGCTTTCGCAATCTTTCAAAGCTTAATGAATAACACTCTCTGAGAATTGCTGGGGATATGTTGTCCCATAACATGGACGACATTATGGTGCTCTCAGCATCGTTGCAGGAACACATCTAAGATTTAGAAACATTTTTTAAGAAGCAGATTTTAAACTACAATTGGACAAGACAGAATTCTTGAGAAAAGAGGTGGAATATTTAGGGCACGTATTTAGAGTATGATTACGAGATCGTATATAAAAAAGGCTCCTTGAATGTAGTGGCAGACGCATTAACCATAATTCAACCTGAGCTCATTGTTTTGGAAAATGCCTCTAAGTTAGCGACAAATGGAGAGACGATTCACTGCGCTGGGGAAGACCTGTAACTGGCATTCCCAATATCAGAGACACCACTGAAGAAGTATAATATTCAAATGATTACGCAGGAAGGAAGAACAGCGGGAAAAGTAAAGTAAGTTCCATTCAGGAATAAGTTACGAATAATTTGTACGGAAAACAGTTTTGATGATGAGACAATCGCCCGTAGGCTAAAATAAATTCTAAAACCTAAAAGAACGGTGGCATTGTTGATTCCGGAAGACCTGGTGGTAACTATACAAGACGTATATTGCAAATACTTTGCCTATAGTAAGTTGCATAGGGCAATAAGATGTATAGTGTTGTTGCCGCTTATAACGGGAAAGGACGAACAGGAAAGAGTCATTAAGGAGTATCACGAAAACAGCTCACCTCAAAAGGAACGTTTTTTTTCCTATACATGAAGCAGGCAATTACACAAACAATTAATAATTGTGAAAGTTGCCAAATTCAGAAATACTATAGGAAACCAAATAAGATGAAATACAGTTTGACAGAGACACCGGAGAGACCTATGGAAATAGTACACATATTTTGTGATCAAGAAAAATGTACTTACTATAGCAGACGAATTCTCGAGGTACGCAACTCCACGGTCGAAAGACTACACTCCACGATTACGGAAAGTTACAGGCTTATAAATGAAACTAAGAAGACAAATAAGTTAGGAATCAGGGATGAGGGGGCACTGGAAGAAGCGTTTATAATGTATGAAAAGGAGTGGGCGGATGGTGTCCAAAAATCAGTAGCCGTCGTCAGCTAGTAGTTTCGTCGGCGGCCGCTGGTAAGGGTGGTAAGTGCTGGTTGTTGTTGGTGTTGCAGTTGCTGTTCCTTCCCCAAAAAAAAATTATGTATGCTTTATTAAGCAGTTCTTTTTGCACTAAAAACTAAAACCTAGCTCAAGGGCTGCTGGGACCACGGAGTGGCACCTTCGGCTAGGAGACGAGAAGGAGCGAGGGACGACCGAGAGCAGGCTCGTGCTCCCACACTGCTTCTCGAAATTAAGCGCCCTCGTGGCGCGAACAACGTATAATAATGATATTCATTCAGCTACTAAGTAAACACCGCAGGAACTATTCACTGGGAGAACGCATAGTTTCTTAAATAACGTGTCCGTTGAAAATGAACACAATTATTTTCAAAAGATCAATGCGTTTCAGGCAGAGTTATACCTAAAAATCAATAAAAGGGTAGAGGAACAAAAAACCATAAGAACAGAAGCGGCAAATTCAGATAGAAAAGGAACCAATCCCGTTACAGGCAGGATATACGATATTTAGGAAGGAAAGCAGGAGGGATAAGCTATCTCCTCGGTTCTCAAAATACAAGGTGTTGGAAGACAATGGTCTGATATTAACGTCAACCAGACCACAGAAGATTCACAAAGAAAAAATAATAATAAGGATAATACAGACGCGCAAGACATTCATACACATAGTAAAGCTGCAGTCAAGAAGCTGTAGAAGGTGTTTACGTGAGGGGCCCACTGTGCCGCCTCTGCTCAGGACCGAGCTTTGTGTCCCCGGCTTCCTCTTGCACTCCAACTATTGCCGATCTCCCACTGAAATATCAACCACGACGCCCCCGCCTTTGCATTTTTAACCCTGACAGGTTAATTATTCGCCAGCGACGTGGGAAATATTTGGCCTCCGATAAGGAATCCTTGCGGGCAGGATCGCCCCCTAAACATTTTGGTTCGTCGAGCCGGATTCCTTGCAGGATATCCTCCAAGTCACCAGCAGTTCCAGGCATCTGTCCGCCAAGATAAGTACGAGTTTTCCTTCTCGGGAGTTCATCTTTTCGCCGAACAGTCCGCCGCTGCCGCGATATATTTTTTTGTCGTCTTTTGTGCCGTGTCCATACAACATATTTCAATGCAGTCCACTTCTCGACGCTCCACTGTGCCCTGACACATTGTTCCTATTCACATGCATGCCCATATATTTTCAAGAAACGATTCCAGGAACTAGTCCCGATAATAAAATTAAAAAAAAAACTTCAAAGTGAATGAAACAATTAGCAACAAAACCCAAACGCAAACTCAAGTGTTTTAATTGTTTTCATTTTCGCCGCCGCAGAGGCCGTGTTGTATTTGTTGCCGTTTCGTTTCTTGGGGCCCTCATATAGGCACCGCTTGCCCTCGGCATAACGCAGCGAGCTTTTCTTCGCGGCCGAGAACCGAGCTTTTAAGTCCAGCTATTCGGCTTAGAACAATTCAACATTTGCGGCTTGCAGTTGATGACATTAACATTTGTTAGACAAGTACCAGCATAACCAACATTCAAATGTAATCCACACAGATGCGACTGCGCTTGTTCTGTTTATATATTTTTGTATCCACTCGCCGCCGAAGAGACCGTGCGTGTTGTTGTTGCCGCTTAATTTTTTGCCATCACCGCTCGCCGTCGGCATAACACAGCGATTTTTTCTATGCGACCAAGTCCGAGCTTTTAAGTCAAGCTCCTCAAGCTTGTCAGCTTTTAAGGGGGTAGACCACCCTGAACGCATGAAAATTGGAGGGTTTTTCAAAAATTCATTTTGACTAAGTTATTGGGAATACAACTTTTTATTTATTAGTACATCAAAGTACATATGTTAAACTAAAAAATACTTATTGAAAGAAAAAAAATATTTATGAACCTCGGAGATATAGCCAGTCATAATACGAATTTTTTTTAGGTAGTGGTCGGATGGTGTACATGCTGCACACCACATTTGTTATCCGAAATTCAAAAACAAAAATTTTTTATAAGCTATATAAGTATGGCTATAACATGACGTAGCCGTTTTTGGAAATAATTTTTTTTTTAGGAAATGGGAGCACTTTGAAAAAAAAAAAATTTTTTTTTTGACAAAATTTTTGTTTTAAAAATTGATAACTTTAAAACAAAAAAACATATCGAAAAAATCATACGTCATGCCATAGAGGGCATTATAGAGAAGCTGTGTAAAAAATTTGAAGAGAATCGGTCCGGCGGTTTTTGAGAAATCATGTACACCGTTTTAAAAAACGTAGTTTTGAGAAAAACGCAAAAGAAGATAAAGAAAGTACTCTGAGGTATACAGGTAGCTCTCACTTCTAATGGCTGTAGAATCCACAAGTAATGAGATATTTTTAAGCCCTATGTCTTAAAATGACCGTAAGAATATCGGCATCAAGATTGAGTAAAAAAAATTAGATTTTTTAAAAATGTCAGGGTGGTCTACCCCCTTAAGTTAAGCTCCTCAGCTTGGAACAATTAAACACCTGAGCCTTGTGATTGCTGACATTTGAATTGTTAGCCAAGTTAGACAAATCCCAGTATCACCAGCATCCAAATTCAATCCACACAGCAAATCGAATAGCAATTAGCCGCCTGGGCTCAAATATAACCAGTCTCCACAACCAAGCCCCGCGATTAAATCCCCATCTCAATAATTAACAATAAATACGTATCTACGCTCAATACCTCCATTCCACTATGGTCCAGCGGAACACTTTTTTGGGCAAAAATTAATAACTCTGGTAATTTAAAAGATATCGACTTGAAACTTTCCCAATCGTTATTTAGTACTTATAGGATGATACTGAACAAAAATTTTCTGGATCGGAAAACTATATCCTATAGCTGTCATAGGAACGATAACAAAATTTTGAGATAAATTCATAAAACTTGGGTTACATAAAAATTATGTAATTTAAAGAAAATTCAAAAAATTTTATCGCAATCGGATAACGAATTACTTTATTTTTCATTAAGAAAATCGAAATATAGTGTTGTTTTTGCTTAAAATTGCATGAAAAAATGATTATAAACACTTTTTACGATATAAAAATTTTGTTTTGACATTTGTCTTATCTGAATTCCAGCAATTCTATTGTTTTTTTTTTTTAAGTTTA